TGTACGTAATTTATGTACACATAACACATTTTTGACAATCCCACTGATTTTTTCACGGTCCCTTGAAACATAATTGTGCAGAGGATTTTATGTTATATAAATAAACCATGTATATAGTATATATGTATACATCTCAGCAGCTTGGATGAGCTTGCTTCAGTTGATGTTTATGCTTGTACATACATACATATGTATGTATAAATAACATCTCTTCTTGCCGGTAGTTGATGATGTGGCACTACCAGCTTGCCACATTGCACTTCTCGGTCGCTTTTCCGTGCTTTACATCACTGATGTGGTTACTACGAGCGATGCCAGCAGGGAGGGCACCTAAGAAATAAGTTCATTCATCCATACTCTGCGCACTCATGCAGACATACATACGTGTATGCACAAAAAAAACTGATTTTGAAACAAAATCGTAAAATTAGAGATAGTAAATTTAATTATCATACATTTTCATAATGCTTTTTAATTTGTTAGATTAAAACATTAAAGTATATTTGATTGTTTTCAAACATTCTTGTACCCGAAAACCGAGTGTGCTCTGCACAGTCCTTAAGGAAGACTCCGCCATCAGCCACAATTATCGCGGCCTTAGCTCTCTTAATACCACATACATACACCCACTGGCAACGCACTGATCGGATATTATATGTCTCTTCCCATTCGAGGTCTGTGTCTTGATGTTTGTGCAACAAATAAAGGGACCTTATGTTTAATATAAACCGCCTCTGAGCGGCTTATGGATTTTGTGAGTAGAGGAGTCTTTATTTTTTGTCACTCGAAGAGACTGAGACCATGACTGACGTATTTTCTATAACTTACATGGCTACCGCCTAGTGTGGGATTAGATCAATAGAAATGATCGTCACACTCGTCAGTTTTAAGGCTACCTTTGATATCACGAAAAGGTGCCACCTTTATGCCGCTATGTCTGAATTTAGGCTCACGGTGAAACTCATTTAGTAAGTTGAAGCTGATTAACTAAATGAGATTTAAAACAAAGTGACTCTCTTTCATGTGTCTTTTTTAACGTAATGCAGAAAATAATAAAAACTGTAGACTTAAATTGAAAAGCTACAATTTTGGTGGTGAACGAATGCAAAACAAAATATCATCTCATCGGTGTCTTGGCTCCCACCAAACATCCAACTCAGAATTGTTCTTGCCAACTAAGTGGGCAACTGAAAAGTAAAGTCTTCTCTTGGAACGAGTTATGCGACGACATTGAGATAGATCAGCATTATTTGCTTTATCACGTCGCCCGAATGGATGAAAGTACTCCAGCTGTGAAGGTGTTTGATGCAATACCATCCAATGGAAGCGAAGAAAGAGGATGGATCAGGCGGTAGGCGAACTGATTCCACTTGGTATTACTAATCGGCCCCAAACAGCGAAAAAAAAATAATGAAATATGTATTTTATATAATTATTTAACACTTTACAGAAACTATCCAAACAATGCAGGAAGATCTGCTACAAACCCATTTTTATTGAGATGAAAACATTTCAAAATAAAGCTGCACAGTGTCAGCAAGTATACATTTATTTTGCATAAATAAACAAAATTTTAGCCCTGCGCAAAATTGAAGAGAATTACAATGAGCGGCTTACAAAGAAAACAAAAAGTTTCCAAATTGCGAAAGTAGCTAACTTGTTGACCCAATTTATGTGCTCATGCATAAGACTATATTCGTAGGCATTCAATGCATAGGATCGCGCAAGTGAACATAAGTGCTCAAAACACACCACCAACAACACTCAAGCGGGTGTGTGTGTGTGTGCGGCCGAGTGTTCACTGAAACGAGTGTTAAGCGCGTATAGGTGTTTCAGGCAGCTATTGTTCTCGGCACTGCAACGCAATTGCATTCACTCAATTTACCAAGCTAACCGTAAAATTAATAAAGATTGAATATATGTATGTATGCATAAGCGTGTACGAAAACTTGTTAAAATGTACAAGCACGAACCATACGTGAATTCAAAGATGCATTGGATAGTTAAAGCTATGCAATGCAACATTAAATTTTAAAGAGCCAACATAATTAAAACTGCATTATGTTATAACTGTAAGCCAAGGTTGCATCGTAACGAAAAAATTCCTTTGTTTTACGTGGAAACATTTAGAAATATTATCGCTAAGTTATCAAATATAAAAAATTAATTTTTTTATTATTATTTTATTAAATTATTATTTTTATTTTATCGAAATAAATTTCTTTTCGTTTATACCTGAAACGAAAAGCTATTGTTAATGTTAAATCGTTAACAGCTAATGTTAAATGTTAAAATTGAAGTGTGCTGTTAAAACATAACTGACAGCCTTTTTAAAAATAACTTTAATATGGCGCCGAAACGAAGCGATTTCATTTCACTGAGTTCATTTTTCTTGTTAACAAAATGAAATCATATCATTTGTTGAGTATCTCTGGTGCAAACTCTGAAATCCTTTCATCGCTTTTTTCTTTAGCTTTAAAATGAGTAACATCTCTATAAGAATACCACAAACTGGAAGTGTCGCTCGCCCGAAAAACGCTTCATCGTTTATATATTTAGCAACAGTTATAAATACACGGGCACGTATGTAAAGAAGTGCCAATAAATACGGTGATAGGTTTTTCACCAGCTAAATATGTATGTATTTGGATATGTAGTACGGGTGTATGCAACTAGACATCCTTCGATTATGACCTCTATTTTTCTTCGACTTGTTAAAATACTAATTAAGCTAATGAAGTATTTTCCAGCTGGGAGCGCTTACATGCCGCATACATACATACATATTTAACATTTCGACAAGAAACATTTTTATTTGTTCCTACACATATACATGCACATTGGTATATTTGTAGATGAATAGAAAGGAAGGAATACATATTTAGATTTAAATTTTTTTTTTTGCTCCATTCTTACACTGTAGACGCTAATTTTTTTCCACTATTTCATTTGTTCATTTTAATTACACTTGACTTCCTTAATTGGTGGAAGAAAGTCTTACGTTTTTTTTTCTCTTTCACATTGTATTTTTTTCTTTCGCTTTATTTCTTTCCTTGTATTCTTTGCATTATATTCCATAAATGCATTTAACAAACAAGTTTAACGGCAATTACCCACGAACAGACAGACAGACAGCCAGACCACAACTAATGTAAAGGCATTGAGCGATTACTAAGTCTAGAAATTTCGGTGAAATTGTTGTAGAACAAAGTGAAAATGGTTTTAAGGTGTTCTACTCTGTAATTTCTGGCAAAACGGAATTAAGTTAAAAAGGAGGGATTAAAACGGAAGAATTTTTAACTTTAAATTGTTTTAGAGTTCTTCCTCGAATTTACTAGTTCGGAGCTACGAGTACATCTGCACACCTCTGGATTTTTTATGAGAAGCAAAGATTCGGTTGTGCTATAAGTTTAGATTTTGGTGAAGCCAGTTTTCGAACCATGACCCTCCGCACTCATTGCTACTCACTCATCCACAGCGTCCGTGATTACTTTTTATTTAAGATCTATTTCTGATAGTATTTTAGTCCTCATTAAAAGTAGATTATCGACCTAGTTATCTAGGATCTGTTGATTGATGCCTTTAATATGCGATCTTTACTCAAGCAGGAGTGGAGAGACCGTGTAAAGGCTTAATTATTGCTCGGTCGCATCTATAATCAACTTGTGTTGATACTAGATTATATTGTTGGCGCTTTGTAACCACAGACGTTATTTCCGGTTGAGCTCCTTCTGTAATTTGTGGAGCACGTGTTGATGTTTTTTACAGAAATGGAGTGATCATTCGGAATGTTCACTGAACGGCTGATGGTTTTTCACGAGAAACTTTTTATTTCATGTTAATATTTCCTGCCGAGGAGCGACCACCACAAATTTGTATACAATACATAATTATCGCGATTTTCGTACCCTTCAAATTGAGGCTTTTGACCCAAGGAATGTGAAAATTTAATAATAACAATAGTCCACTGTTTAATGGAGCTTTGCGGGAAAATAATGGTCTACTACTCTAATGTTTTTTGCCGCAGGAAGGAATAAAGAAGATGAATCTACTTACCTCAACCTCTGTCACTGTCCGATCTCGACATCTGCGCTACACAAGTTTCTCGGGTAATACTTCTTCGACTGTCTCGCTGGTCTGGCTACAGCGAAAATTGGCAATCTCGTTGCTTTTATAAGGCATACGAAATGGCTTGAACATTTGTGAAGGTGAAGACAGGATCAACAATAACGGTTATACAATACGCCTATTGCGCTGGTAATGACCAATGACCGCATCAACTTACATATATTAACTCAATTCATATTATATTTGTATGGTATTCCCTTTTTTCCTTTTTTTGCGATTACGGTTTATGTTAAGTGATTAACAGATAATATTAAAAGTTAAATTTAAGTGTGCTGTTAATATCATAGCAAGCAACCATTAATGTTAATCATGAGTTTGTGCGGTTCCAACATTATAAATTTCATTTTGTCAAAACGAAATGATATTTTTGCTATTTTTGAGCATACGCACATATAAATACGGTCAGGAGAGAACCGCTACAATTATTAAAACAATCTCCAAGTCGAATATCTCACAAGTGGCAAAATCTAACAATTCAAACAAATTTAGTGTAAAATTTGCCAATTTTAATTTAAAATTTTTGCATCATGAATAAATTTGAATTTCCCAGTGAATTTTCATAGTTAGTGCTAACAAAATATTTAAAAAAATTTAAGGAAGCAAGACTTCTGTTGGCCAGTGTAATGAAAGGTTTTAAACAATTGTAGAAACTGGCCAAATCGGTACTACCATACACTTCTGAATGTCTTCCTTATACATTAACTAAACTATGTCGCTGTGCTATAAATTTTGTATACCTTTTTTGAAAGAAATAGTATTTCGATTTTAGACTTGTTAATTTATAAACTTCTTATATCATAAAATTATACATGCAACAAAACAATCTAATATGGAATATAAATTGTATTTAGTTACGAATACACTTCACTTACCACGGTAACTTGCCCTTCAAAGGGTGAGCATTTCTCTGCTTCGTCTATCACAGAGTCCACCGAACTGATCGCTGCTCTTGGTATTTTACTGAATTCCTCCTGCTGGACTTCCTTTGAGAGGGAAGAGTCTCCATAATATTGATTCTGTTGACGAGGTTGTTCATGAGGCACACCACCAAATATGAAAGGCCCACCCACATCTTCAGCATCATCAAGTAATAATGGCAACCGACCCTTCCCAGTTGTTGACAAAGGTTGAGGCGCTGCAAACTTGGCATTACGCCGATTACAAAAATCGTCTTCAAAGCGTGACGATTTGCCCATATAATGGGACGAAGGTGTGTTATTCGTTGAGGTTATAAGGCCATTGCTACCACCTCCACTACCACTTACAGTGCCAGCGTTACTTCCATAGAAAGAGTGGTAATCCGTCGTCTCATTAATGTCATTTCCTGTTTGTTGCTGTGGATTCATTTGTTGTTTGCGCATTAAGCCAGTATTGCTGTAAATAGGGTCTCCACATAAAGGAAGTTGTTGCCGCATAGTCAACGTATCGAATACAAAATCATTGGATTTGGCTGTAGGCGATGGAGGGCTACCGTAAGGGTAGCCAATGTGCGGACTGCTGCGCAAATGCTCCGTATATTGCTGTGACAAAACATCGAAATCGTTAAAGCCGTGCAATCCCTTGGCGCTATCACGTTTCTGTTGTTGCACGTATGGCGAGATATATGATTTCTGTTGTTGCAGTAGTTGCGGTTTTCCTTGCTGTTGTTGCAGTTGCAAGTTACGTTGCGGTTGATTAATACCAGTCGACTTTTTATTTTTCTTTGTCGTTTCGCTACTCAACATTTTTGGCGGCTTCCTTTCACCCAACAGCGGACGCTGCGAATTGTTGCATGAATGACTGCGCTGCATCATAATATCATTGGCAGTGGTTACATTCGAATATAACGACATGTTATCATCATCGTACAATCCATCGCCGTCCATATCACTGGCAATATACGGATATAGTAGAGACGATTGCTGTTGTGTCTGTTGTTGCATAAACGGGATGTGTTGCTGCTGTTGATGGTAACCGGTGGTGGAGGTGGTGGTGCTAGTAGCCGAGGTAATGGGCGGCGAGACTGCCGCTGTAGTTGGCATAGAGGCGACATTACTAAAAAAATTCGCCAGCTTTACAGTCATTTTGCCGCGAGGATGAGCAAAGTGTCGTCGTAGGCGGAATGTGTTTGGTAAAATATTTCTTATTCCACTGTATGTACGTGGCTGTTACAGTCACGTTTTCAATTAAAATCACTGTTGTAAAGTCGAATGGAATGATAATAATTACAATTGCAACTGGCTGCCGCTCGAGTATATTTTCTCCCTTAATTCTCTTTATGCCCCTTCTTTGTTCAACTGTAGACCAGATTTTACTCAAGATGCCTACTTTTTTCGCTGCAAGTTTATTATGATTTAAGTTATACATTAACAGCAAGCTCTGTTACTGCTATCTGTAATGAAAGTAGAAAATAAAATTAAATTAATAAAGAAAGATGAAAAAAAATTAAACGAAAACCACCAAAAACTCAAGTAATAAAAGTAGAAAACAAGTAAACAAAACTATGGATGTTCGAGGCTGATGAAAATAAAAAAAATTTCAAGACCAGGTATAAACTAGAGGAAAATGAAATCGTTCGTTACGGCGTCATATTATCGAAACGAAATGAAATTGTTGAGGTTGAAACAGCATAAATTCATCACTTTAAATGGCTGCTTGCTATGATATTACCAGCACACGTTATCTGTTAACGATTAGTTTTGGGTAAAAACGAAATAAAAAATACGACTTTAGCGATAAAATTTCCAAATGTTTGAAATGGATCAATTGTATTTTTTTGTTTAACGGAAAATTTATCGTTACGACGCACAATGGGGTAAAGGTGCTGAAAACACAGGGATTGCATCTTTTTTGCTCTAATTTGTAAATAATAATTATTTTCAAGCTTGGATATTTTGTTTAAAATTGTTCAAGGCAGATACTAGTACCCAGCTGGTTTCTTACACAATAATTTTCATTGTAAAAACTTAAATAAAACCGACTACACTTTTTTTTTAGTAAATCTTACCGACTAATTTCTTTGTTTGTGCGCTTTTTATTTTAATAAGGAGGAGGAATAGAAGATCCGGCAAAATTTGTACCATCATTCCGTCTGTTTTGGAGATATTCTACCAAAACTTCTTTAGCAGATGGAGTTTTATTCGACATCGTCTGTATGAATCGGTCAGATTGGACCCCTAAAACATACACCAACATAGCCGACTTTCCAGGTTTTAGATTTTATGTAATAAATCCGGATGAAATGCAAGTAAGGTTGTGAAACTTTGCACTCTACATAACGGAACTTGTGCACTGAAAATCAATGAAATCGGACTTTACTCGTAAAAACCCGACTTTGAATCATAAAAAAATAATTCTTTATATAAATAAATGGCCTTGAAATACTCTTGAAATGTATAGAGTTGCAAAAACACAACTTTAACTTCCTAGGCCGATATGTTAAAAAAACAGTTTTTATTTTATTTTAGAATACATATGATTACCTTGAGTTTGTAAGTTAGGCCGCTAATAATTACTGAATCTATCAAAATTAAAAAAAATCTTAATATCGGTCAGATTATTAACTTTTTAATCTCTCCCGGTTGTCCGACATTTGATTTTTGTAGTTGGTTGGTTGGCCGAACGAGAATTCTTTAAAACCTTTATTGCAATAGGATGACGCAATCAAGGTCCACTATGCGAATTCGAACTTTTTTGAACTCGTAATCACATGTAATTCAGGAGCCACTATGAAAATTTAAATGTATTTTCCAAACAATTTACATAAGTAGGTTTAAATTTTGCAAATTTTGGTCTGAAGAGGTAAGTTCAAATTGAAATATCTCAATATAATGCAAAATACTGCAGGTAAATTTAAGGCAAATCGCTTTAGTAAAGATCATGCCTTAAGGAGCTAAAGTATTTCATTAATCTGCGATGAGTAAAAAAAGTTATGATCCAAAGAAAAATAATAATTTTTCCTAAAAATGCGATTTTTTTATAGGAAGTTTGAAGGCTTACATTTTGTGGACAAAGAAAATATTCTTAAGAGGGTTAACTTGAAATTAATTGCACTAACATTTTGGTATTACATGAAAAGAACAGAATCGTTTGATAAGGTGCTTTCAACACCCATTTTTGTACAGTTAAATACAGAAAAACCAACTCGAGATTGCTCAACTTTGAATGGTCATACCTCTGGAAAGCGTTTTTCGATTTTCTTGCGATAAAGCTTTTCTGATGGTTTAATTTATGTTAAATAAGAAAAATTAACAAAAAGAGGTCTGTCTGCTATTTTAATTTTTACTCTATTGCGTGTGTTTAGAACACTTTTACCCCACTGTGCAACGTGGCTTTGGTATAGACTCTTAAAATATCTAGACGATTTGACCACAGAAGCCGCATCAAGAAAAAAGTAAAACAAACTGTTTCACTAAAACAATCTAGTTAACATTTTAAATACTTAAATTCAATTGAAGAATATATATAATTTATAACAGATTAGTCTAAATTAAAAAGGCAAATTTAACATGGTGAATTTACATTTACATACTGCTGCAGCGAGTTAACTTTTTTCTGCCATGGTAACTTGCAAAATAATTCCTTAAAGTAACGTCACACGTAACAATTATCGAGCAAATTTTATTTCGTACACGCATTTTGCATTCAAAAATTTTGATTTGGCCGTCCAACCACCCTGAAACTAACTTCTGCAATTTAGTTTTTCATAATAGCAAAAATCAAAATTGAAAGTGGAAAAGATTTGATTCTTTTCAGAGGAGAATTTAGATAAATAAATGTGAAATAAATTAACAATTACTTTCTTAATATTAAAGAATTATATAGCATGGCCGCAAAAACAAATTATAAATATATAAGTTGAACCTGATCCTTCCTATACATTTTTCAGTCAATTAACGCCTGAAAGTATAGAGGATTCCAACACAACACACTAACCAAGCTGTTAAGAAAATAGCGGCTAAATTAGCGCACTTAATAGTTGTTGGTTAATAATGAATTGAATAATACAACAACAGATTGTATGGCTGATGTTGGCGCAGTGATAGAACACTCGCCTGTTAAGTCAGGATCCGTTGGTTCGATCCCTGCCATAAGAAGTCTGATGAGGAGATGTGGTGATCTCCGAAACAGCTGTCACTTCTGGCATACCGGAAAAAATTGTTTCTGAAATAACCCTTGAATGGTTGTATCATTATTTTCCACATTTTCTGCTTTTGTGACAATAATTTTCAGGAAAATGATCGTTTTTTCAGCAACAGATTTCTTCTATTCATTTTCACATTACTAGCACATTCCAGCACAAACAGAAGTGGAAATAAAAATTGCACAGTCTGATCCACAAGAAATTGCAAAATGGCCCGTCAAACTATTCTCCAGAAATTGCAAATTAAATTTCTATGAAATTTTTTGTGCCACGTGTGATTGCCAATGCAATTTCATTACATTTCTTTTTATTTGGGAATTCTTTAAAACCGTTATTTTGTCGTGGAAGGTATTTCTGGTTATTAAATTTTTTGTTTAGACTTTAGTGAGTAAGACGTTCGAAAACAGACCACCGTGAACACAATTTCAAAAAATGTAACATTACCATCTTACATATAAGTAAGGTAAATGGCATTATTATTCTAACCCTTAAATGAAAGGTGGACCCGGATTTCCTCCGATTTGGCTCATGTGTAATTCTCTGCGTATTTGTGTAACTGTGTGCTAAGACGGATCCGCAGACAGTCTTAGCTGCATAATTTTCTCTATTAGTTTAATAATATAATAATGTGAGTATCAAATTTATAGAAATAGTCTTTATTATTGCGGTAGCCTCTCGTTCTTCCGCGAGTATTTCTGACATAATAGAGAAAAGCTTCTTTTAAAATTCCATGATCCGCTGGAAGGCAGGCACAGTTGTAACACTGATAGGAAGACAGGTTTTGTGACCTGATGGGCGTTGGGTGAGGCAAAAAGCTCAGTAAAATTCGTAGCGCGACAGCTCAATTTTGACGGTTTATTTGGAGAATATATTGCAGATTTGTGCTGGAAAATTTTCAGCCTATAAAAACTAACAAGTAAGAAAAAGAGCTGATTTGTGATCATACTAATTAAATTTAATTATTCAATTAAATGGCTAAGATACTTGTTAGCAGTAGAATGAAATCATCGTCTGAATACTACACAGTCTGCATTGAGGAACTGGGAGTTAAGAATGTCGAAAGCATAGAATTTGAGCATATCCTTCATTTTTTCTACAATGTAAACCGAGCTTGGATTTCATTAATTTAATAGAAAGATCTGTCGACCGCTTGAAGGTTGTTACTAAGTGCACAGTGATGAGAATGCATTATTAAGCTTCTCAAAGGGATTACCGCGCGCAAAATAATATAAAAAAATATAAAAAATAAAGCCCTTTCTAAATATGTTTGGAATTTATTAAAATAAACCAAATTCTATTATAATGTTCAGTTAATATTGCCGGCTTACATGAGAAAGACTTCTAACATCATTTCCGTATTTCAATTACCTTCCTAAAAATCTAAGCGGGAAAATGTTTCAAAGCAGGTTTTACATAAATCTTCGACCTTTCAGAGAAAACATATTGGTATATTTATGGTTTGCCGGCTATGAAACATGTAGAATTATATCAATAAAAAAAAATGCCATATAATTGCCACTAAATCTTTTAGGAAAATACTTAAATCAGAAAACAAAAAAAGTTAAAATGAACTGATTCAAATATAACTGCGAAAAGAAACAGCTGTTATACAACTTGCTGTCTAAATTTTATTGAATCCCGTGCTGGCCAATTCTTGCTGACATTTCTCACCGAACAGAGCTAATATTATAAACTAGAGCCTGCGCCCACATTGTAATTTCAAATAGTTCTGATAAAAATTATTAAATTTATTATATTAATAATTTTATTATAACTTATAAATATAAACTATTATGTATTATAAATATTCCATATGGGAAGCAAAGCCAAGCCATCGAATCGAACTCAGACCCATTTCTTGCAACTAAATTCGATTTTTTCGAACAAATCGATCCCTGACCCACTTCCCGGAAAAACCTTTCTAATTGGGTACATACGTCATACACAGAACACAACAAGTTTCAGGTCTCTACGACCAATGGTTTAAGTTGTGGGTTGATCAATCAGTCAGTTAGGACAAAGCCTTATATATATATGTGTGTAGGTACGATATATAGAAAATTATTTTAAGGATTAGACTTTAGCTTCGGTCAATAATTATTTATCCGATAATCAATGAAAGCATCGACAAATTTCAATGATTTACTGCGAAAGAGCTCCAAAGAAATTGTGTGGAAATTATAGCGACAACTATCCAACTCCAGACCAGTGTCACCGTTAATGTTAAACACAAATATTTTAAAGGCAAG